ACGGAGCTCCTCCACGCCTGAGCGCAGGGGTTCGGGACGCGCCGCGGCTCCGGCGGCGGAACCCGCCTCGAGCTCTCGGAAGGGACATTTCCCCGACGGCCATCTGGGGCCAGTGTGTTGCCCCCAGGCCCCCCGCACGAAGATCGCTCGCTTTGAAGACGCGACACCCTTAAAACAGTCGCGCTGCCCTCAGCAGAACTGCCCAGAAGCTTCCTCCGGGGAGGGGCGGAGAGGGGTGCGGGGAAGCCACAGGTGCGGGGAGGACGGGGTCCGCGGACACTGACCCTCTGTGGCCCGGGGGCACAGCGAACGCTTACGGGGAGCCTTCGTCGCGAGAGAGAATAAGACCGAGCCGCAGTCCTGGAAGAACCCCGCCGGGCAGTGCTCAGAAAGGGTTAAGGAAAACGCAGCACGTCGCCGAGGCTGTGAGCCTCGCCAGCGGGGGGAAAGCCGCCCAGAGCGCTGGCTCAGCCGGGCAGGACGGCCTGGCAGCGGTCGGTTCCAGGGGCGAGAAGCAGCAACCGGGGGAACACGGGAACCAAGAGTAATTAGGATTCTCTTGGAAGACAGGATTTGAGGTTGGAGCAGTGGACAAGGGCCAAACAAATTCCCTAATTGCCATGCTAGGTTTCTGACCTAACTGGGTTAATCACTCAGCATATTCTGGGGCCCTATTCTGAGCCCTAAAGTTGCAGCAGTGAGCAAAACCAATATCCCTGCCTTCGTGGAGTGTACGTGGTCGTTCTGATTCTATACATTGTCGTTAACCTCCAGAGCATATAGAGGTTAAATGCAGAGGTTCAGATCAGACCGGAGTGGGACTGACCTTGGGTCTTGTCCCCTCTCTTAGATGTGTGACTTTGAGTAAATCACTTAACCTCTGAGCCTCAAATTTTTATCACCTGTAAACTGTAGATTTTGTGTATGCCCGCTTCATAAGATTGTGAGGGTTTAATGGGTTGATATGTGTTCCTGATGTGTAGTAAGCATCATATACGTGCTAGCTTTTATAACTACACCAAATAGCAAAAATTCTTATATGTTGGTGAGCAGACAATCCAAACATGTCTGTACAAGTGCAGTCTGTTCTTATGTCACTTAATTCGGCAAAGGCTATCAAGTCATGGAGACAAAAAGATGAAGGAATGAGCCACAGCTTTGCCATCAAAGACTTCAAGGTCTTTTAGGGGAAACAGATGTAAGCAAATAGTGACAAGACTTAGGGCAGAGATAGAAGGGAGCTAGCTCCCTGTGGGAGGGAGAAATGTTAGAGAAACTGGAATTTCACTGACTTAGGTGTGTAGAAAGGGATTCCAAGCATACGAACAACGATGGGCCAAGGCGTGACTAACATTTCAAGTTTGAGGAACTCAAAGTTTAGTATGACAATTTGAGATGACTTTGGAGATGTGGATAGGACCCAATAACTCAGAAGTTAAAATGGGAGGGGGAAAGTTAAAATTGGGAGCAATTGAAAGGTTCTAAGGGTTTCAGTTCAGGATAGATTTGAGAGTTAAAACCAAGAGGCAGGAAAAGCACTTAGTAGACCCCTGCAATAGGAAAGCAGTGTCGATGCAATTAGGGCAATATGAGGAAGGAGAGGGAGAGACAGGTTCAGAAACACTTCGGGGATTAAATCAGCAAAATGGGCTTGGGTGGAACGAGAAGGGTCACGGTTGTGTCACCAGCTGAGACAGGGCACTTGGGCTGGAGCTGAATCGTTGGGATGCGGAACTACTTGGAACAACGTAACTATTTGAAGTCCCAGGCGTATTTTCCTGCAGGACAGTCTGATCGGATGCTGCAAGATCACCAGTTACCCGGTGACAAAGACAAAATTTAAACTTTCAAAGATCGACCAAGGAGTTGCATATTTCATTATGTAACAGTATAATAAAAATAAAAGATAACCCCAAAACGTTACAAAAATGTATATCCCAGACACTGGTCATTGTGCAAAACTACGTTTTTTGCTGTGGACAGCACAATAACTGTTACAAGAGATCAGGAGTGATAACAGGAGTTGTCCTTTGCAAGAGCCCTAGTGGTCCCTTTGTAACTTACACTGACATCCATGACAAATAGTGTTCCAAGATTTGAAATAGACTCAGATTTCTGACCAGGCAGAATGCCTTCCCCATTCAATTCTCAGGTGACAGAGACCCAGACTTGACTCCCGTTTATGCCAGGGAAGAGGGTAAGCTGCCCATCAGCAACCGCCAGAAGTGGCCAACAAGGCGGGAGTCATATCTCTGTCCCTCACACCTGAATCCAAGCCGTTCTGAACGCACACACTGAGGTTAGCTTTCGGGTAAATGGAAATAACGAATTTCGCCACAGGAAAGCTATGCAGAGAGCTAAGTCATCAAAAAGTTGCTTGGTAGGCAAGGGCTGGAAGATCTTAATGGCTGGTGACATCATTTATGATGCTGTCACTCATCTCCAATGTAAGGGAACTATAATGTTTTAGTACTTAGCAAGCAACCCCTCTCCAGGATAAATATGGATTCTCACAACAGCTCTTAGGTGCCGTTAACACACTCTTAACACACTCGCTTTACAGCTGAGAAAGCTGAGGCCCAGAGGGATTGAGTAGGGCCCAAGGGCGCCTAGCCAGCCTACAAGCCAGGTTGGGATGGTACTACCTCAGGCTGAACACAAGCACTGAAATTTTTTTCCTCTCACCACATTTCATGAAGGAGGAAATCAGCCTGAAAAGTCAGGGACTTACACAAAATCACACAGCTAGCTCATGAGAGAGCTGAAATTTGAAAATGTATGTCGTAAATATACGTACGATCTCATTTGTCACAGGCGAGTGTGTGACAAGAAGAAGTTGCATAAGGATGAAAAATCTTAAAGAAAAAAAATTCACTGGGGCCTTCCAAGTCAACACGAGTCCCAAAAGCGTTAAGTGTGAAAAGCATATCAGAAAAAGGGAGAAAACCAGTCTGCTTCCCACAATTCAGATAGGAGAGTGGTCAAAAATGAGAATTAAAGAAAGCTAAGCAGAGTCGGGCCTGGTTAGTACTCGGATAGGAGACCACCTAGGAAGACCAGGTGCTGTAGGCGTAAAAAAAAAAAAAAAAAGAGGATTAAAGAGTAGATAAGGGTCAACTTTGAAAGTTTGAAAAATAAGAAAAATATATGAGCCGTGGAGATCATGCAAAGAAAATTATATACATAATTCAAATTCTAATATCAGTATGTTCATGCAAATGTATATTAACTGAATTAAGGTTCATCCAGCTGGCGTTGTTCATGCATGCACAATATCAGCATAGTTATAAGGGATATAAAAAAAAGTAGGTGACGTCAGACCTACAGAAGAGTGATACCACAAAACCGAATCAGTACATGGAGGTGAAATTAAATGCCCACAAAACCTGCATCATTTCATTCAGCAAAAATTGTATCGAAAGCCTGTAAGGCAGGCACTATGTGGTAAACACTGGCTTCCATCCAACGAATCTCCCAGAAAGAGAAGAGCTAAATGAAAGAAAAAAAATAAATGAAGCTATCTGATTTTTTAAGCCCTCAGTCACTGGTAGACCTTGCATCTAATTCCTGGACCCCCCCCACTTCCACCTCCTGGCCGTGTCATCTTTCCCTCAGGACCTTTTCTCTCTTGAAGTCTAACCCAGCCAGCTGTCCCCTTGTCACTACTTGTCCCTGCCTCCCTCGGCAAATTGTTTCCACATTTATCTCTTCCTCTCGAACCTTTTTGCCTCTCCCTTGTCGCTCCTGACGCTGTGTGCTCCCACGGTGCGGGCATTGGCCCGTATCTGTCTCCAAAGTCTCACCAGTTGTTCCTTTGCAGAGTTTCTCGCGGCTCTGGAGAAAACAGAGTGGTGGACAAGACCTTGAGGACCTGGGAGCTAGAATCGGAATATGTCTGTGTTGGAACACCACTTACTTCTACCACTTTCCGTGGTTCAGTGTTTGTTTTGGGGTTTTGCTGGTATTAGTTAAAATGGAAATAACAACCAATATATTGAAGGTTTCTATACCCCAGACACTAGGCTAAAGCATTTACGTGTCTTATTTAA